CACACACACACACACACACACACACACACACACACACACACACACACACACGTTGTTAGACTGGGACTTCTCTCAATGAATTCCCTAACCTTGTTTCATTGGTAAATGTGCTTAAGCCCTTACCAAGTCAGTGCTCATGTATCAAGTCTACACACCCTTAGAACTCATTCACCGAGCAGTTGTGGAGGAAGGAAGGAATGAGAGCCTTGATCACTGAGATGTCTCTATCCTCTATCCATGTTGGGACCAGCACCAATCACAGTCCCAGCAGAGTACTGTATGTGTTTATGTCACTGTAGTTCAGCTGCTGGTTTTCTTGTTGATGCTTCATGTTACATCTTGAATTCTTTTGCAATTTATTTATTATTATTTGTGATTTTTTTTCACAATGATAAAGGAAAAGAGACATATTTCAAATTACATATACTTGATTGATTAGCATTTTTTAACACTTCTGAGAATAGAAACTGGTTTCGTTTTCTGTAAACCTCATGAAAAGTGGTGTCTGGACTATTTGGTATCATCATAATAAGACAAATAATTATATTTTCTTGTAAAAATGTAAACATAATTTCTAACGGCACAGGATGACACCTCAAGTTTTCCACAGTCAAAAAGGTCTGAAACAACCTACTGGAGGAGGGCTTTCATAGCATGTGCAAGCCCCAGGTTTGACCTTCACTAGAAGAAAACAGGGGAAAATGTAAATGTTAATATACTCCCTATGATGAGGGGATGAAGAAATTCTGGATTTTCTTTAGTCTATTTTCGCTAAAAACACATGTAATTTTACAGGTTCCTCTTATCCTCATTGTTTGTCAGAAGTTATCCTTTATGTGATTATATTGAGTTAACTGATAGGTTCACAATTCAGGGAGACTGGTGAGTGTGTGTGTGTGTGTGTGTGTGTGTGTGTGTGTGTGTGTGTGTGTGCGCGCGCGCGCGCGTACGCGTGCATGTGTTGTAAATAAGAGGGAGAAGAAAGGGAGCGGTAGAGAAAAGCAGATAGTGAAGTAACGAAGTAAGGGATTGCTGTCAGCAGTTTTTATGAGTGCCCATCCCTTAATGTATTGGGTGAGCCTGAAAGAGGAAAATACCATGTGTATTGGTTACAACTCTTTGTGTCAAATTCCTTGAAGTCTCTGTGTTTACAATTGGTGTATGTGTGAGTGGGATTCTGACTAGGAAATATCCTGATTGACTTGGCTAGGTGTTCTCTTAGAAGTCTAAGTTTGTTATGTTGTATCTAATTTTTATTACATAATGCATTCTCTTATTTCCAGTAGAACCTTTGTATTACTGGCAACAAACTGAGGATGATTTGACAGTAACAGTAAGGCTTCCAGAAAACTGTGCTAAGGAAGATATTCAGATACAGTTTTTGCCTGATAACATCAACATTATGCTGAAGGAAATCCAGGTTTTGGAAGGAAAACTCTATTCATCTATTGATCATGAAAGCAGTACATGGACAATTAAGGAGAATGATAGGTATTTTTGTAGTTTTACATTTGAAATTTTATTTTTTATATTACTTTTTATTTTTTTTTCTCTCTACAGTAGTTATATTGAAGATGAATATAATAGTCCACCCATAGTGATGGTTTTTTAGGTAGATTAAAAATGCTGAAACTCTATCGAACAGTAATTGTAGTTAAGAGTAATGACGCTGCTGCACTTACCTGCTTCTCATTACCTCCTGTAGATACAGTGATGACAAAAGCTGAGACTATTTGTTTAACTTATACTCTTAAAGCTTTGTGATAGACACAATTTCAAGTTTAATTTACTTATGAAATAATATAATCCCATTCTTTAAAATTTATTTAAAGTGTAAAAAGTTACAGGGTGAGAAGTTTCCCTCCAACCAGTACCCCCAGTCATGGGTGCATCCTCCCCTCTGGCTACTGTTACTGGTTTCCTTCTAGAGGCATTTTCTGTTTATTCTACTAAATGTTTCATTTTGTTTTTAAGAAAAAAAAATCTCTGATATATGGCTATACATCTTGTCTTTCCGCATTTGCAAACAATGAGTTTTAGGTCTTTTCCCATTAAGGATACATGATTATTTTCAGTACTTTCTTATGTCTTTGTAAAGTTAAGCCTGTTAGGTAGATCATCATTTAAAACAATTTTCTGTTGTTGAACATTTAGAATGTTTCCATTCTTTTGTTACAGTGAATAATTATCTGTTATTTTGCATATATAAAATATATATGAAAGATAAATTTCTACCTTTGAAGAATTAATTTTGAGAAACAAATTTTATTTCAGTGTAAATTGATCACTTACATTTCTTTTATGTGTTCTGTGTTTGGTACACAAAAAAGTTAAATCATATAAGAAATGCATGGTAATTGGACTTGGTCTAAAATGTTTCTGCTCTTTAGAATTGAGAAGTTAAGCCAAGTGTGGTGGTGTGTATGACTTGTATCCCAGTGCTTGCAAAGCTGAGCGTCAGGAATTCAAGGTCAGCCTCAGCTATACTTTTAGTCTGAGGTCAGTCTGGGTTACATGAAACCCTATCTCCAGAAGCCAAAATCAATTTTTAAAAATTGAAATTTTATGCTCATCTAAAAATGTTTTACTTTTAAAGTAAGACATGAACAGTTACAAAAATATTTATATAGAAACTTACATTTTCAATGCATAAAAGACCTACAAATTCCTAAGATAACCAAGGGACTTGGACTAGTTCAGTTGGTAGAGAGATTGCTTAACATACACAAATTTACTGTTCTTTTTGTTTTTTGTAATATATGAAAACAACTATCTTCAAAGTTCTTTTGAAAAAACTGTGTATTTCTACAGCTATTTGAGGATAGCAGTTAAAATTATCAGTTAAAAATTAGCAAATAAAATAGGTAGCTAGAACATACTGTTAAATGCAGTGCTTTCCTAACTTGCAAGTCTGGCAAGTTACTTAACCTCTTAAGTGTTTTTCATTCATATTTGGAACATGGACCTAAAGACAGAACTTTATTTGGTTGTGTTAAACAATAAATGAGGTAAAACATGAAGTTCCCAAGGCAGTCCCTATCATATGGGAAAGCATTAGGTGAGTATGAGCTAGTGTTGTTGTTTTTGTTTTTATCATTTTTTATCAGATTAGCATATTCCTTAAGTCTGGGCATTATTGATTGTGGTGATATTTTTCAGTGTTAATGATAAGAACTTCATATTGCTCTGTAAGTGATATTATTTTGTATAGTCTGTTAAATAGTTGCAGAAAATTTTTAATGCTTTAATTATTTTATGAATTCATGATAATAACAACCTTGCTGAAGAATAGTTGATAAGTTTGCATATTCTATTTGATAATTGCAGTAATGGGTTATTATTGTACTGGTGGATTTGTTTGCTTGAAGCTGTATTCCAGGATGTGGGTTAGTGTGGTGCACATTTATCAGAGATGGCTCATGGAAAAGATTCCTTCCTGTGGAAGCAACACAAGGCCTGCCACTTGATTTGCCTGTCCTGTCCAGAGAAACTTGGGGTAGCTGCCTCCTCCTCTGTCCCCGTCTGCTCTGACCCAGGCCTTCATTTTCCTGTAGCCTAAGTTCTTGATCTGCGGGTCTCTGGCTGGCCCTGCCTAGTGCATTTAGAGTTGCTCTTTAACAGCTTAAATGTATAGAATTAGATAGGAAGCAAGTTATATAGACTATACTAACATTTCTCCTGTATTACAAAGTTTCTTTTTTGAATTCCTACATTTGTTTTCAGTTCTTTAAAAAAATCCGTGTTTTAAAAATTAACATTGGCGTTAATTTAACTTGCCCTGTCTTTGATTAAAACTACATGTTAAGGCTCCTGGTTTATGGTAGTGAGTTGTTGGCTCTGTGTCCTGAGAGGTTAGCTGTAGGCCATTTTTTTGCTGTCTGTGCTCCGCTGCACAGCTGCTGCACATAGATCCATGCTGCTTGGACTTCATTGCTTGGATTTATTGACACCCTGCACACCTGCGTTCCAACAGCATTTCCCACATGCTCTCTTTCCAACCATTCCACATTCTGTCTTCAAGCCATTTGATGCTCCATTTCTGGTGGTACTTTCATGTCTAGTTATTAAGTTTAGGTTACTTACCATTGGATTATAGATTTTTCCATCAGATGTAAAGCCAAAGTGAGTAAGATTTCTGGTAAAATATTCTCTAGATACCAGATATTTACCTTCCTCTCCTTCTCCCTCTTCCTTTCTAGTCTTCCTCTTCCCTCTTCTTCCTCTCTCTCTAATTTTGATATGTGCTCTCACAACATGGCCTCAAGTGGCCATGAACTCTTGATTCTTTCCTGTGTGAGTCTACTGAGTGCTGGGATACTGGAATGAAATACCACATCTGGTTTAAATGTATACTATTTAATGTAGCATCAGGTTTCTCATTTAATCTTTTAGCTTGGAGATTTCCTTGATTAAGAAGAATGAAAGTCTGACATGGCCAGAGCTGGTGGTTGGCGACAAACAAGGGGAACTCGTAAGAGACCCAGCCCAATGTGCTGCAATAGCAGAGCGCTTGATGCACCTGACCTCCGACGAGCTGGTAAGTGACTGCAGTAGTCAGGCACTGTCCGAGAATCCAGAAGTATCTTAAATGATGGTCATGCATGTTAAGCATTAGTGTGCCTTTCCTAATAGAAACGACACAGATAAGTGATTATCAACCTAATTAATGTTTTACTATGGAAGTTCTAATATTTCTATGTTTTACTCTGAATATATATAGAAATGTGAAGGCATATTTTACATGGTGTACAATATGTAGAAATATACCTTGAGATTCTTTAGAAGAATCAACCAATGTTGACAGAAGCAGACATTATAATTATGCCAAATTTATGTTAATAACCTAGACTGATTCTATAACTTACTATTGTAAATAGTGCTATAATAAACATGAGTGTACAGATGTCTCTTCAGTGCATACCTAGCCAGTGTAGAAATTACTATGGAGTTTCTTCATAAAACTAAAAGTAAAACTACTGTGGGTCTGAGCTGTACCATATACCACTCCCAGGTAAGTGTATAAATCCCTCTCTCCCCATGTTATCATGAGCTCACAATCATGACTAGAACAGTCAAAGCATGACCAATATAAAACCTAATTAATTATTGACTATATGAGAGTAAGTTTAATAAAAGGATAAGTCAAGGTAAAAATAAAATAAGAGCAACAGTGACCATGTCTCTTTTGCAGTGTTAATAAATGTCCTGCATTCTTTTTGTTGTCTCATGGATTTAAAGCTTTGCCCCTTTGTAAGTCTGCATTCAGTGTTCTTACCTTTATCTGTTTTATGTCTGTATTTATTGCTGTCCATTGCCACTGCGTGCTTCCTCCTTTTTTCTCAAGTCCAGTCTTGAGTTAAGATGTGTGGAGATGTGGAAGATTGCTGTTTGTTCCTACTTCACCATCTTCTAGTACAGGAATTGTTTCAATGGATGAAATATTTCCTTATAATTACAATGGCCTGACAATACTTATTCAGCTGCGGGGTAGAAAATATTACCACGTTAATAATTTGCAATAACCTGTTGAAAATTTGAAAACATTCAGCAATACTTTAGAACATTGGTAATATAATCATTTACCAAAAGTGCTACCAGCATGTGTAATTGTCTGACTTATTGCTATGTTGAATTAAAGTGATAAAGAAGATTCTGAAAAATTACTGACCCTGAAGGGTTAGGTGCATCCTAGTCCAGAAAAGAGAGATTAAAATATTAAAAGTATTAAGTGTCCTTATCAAAAAGAAGTATGGCCCAAATAGAGAACACAAGTTTCATCTTTGTCAATAGTCATTAACAATTTCAAGAATTATTGGAATTCATATGCCAGGATACGAAGTGTGATTTCATAGCTCTTTTTACAATAGCTTCATTCCTTAGGCTCATTCACTTGGCAGATTTTATTATGACCAGCATTGTTGTGAATATAATAATTGTGACACTAGAAGAGACTGTAGATAATTAAGCTAAGTGTTTTTAAACTTGATAGTTTCAAAGAAGCATTGATGTTTATGAGAAAAGTTACTTATGCCCCAGGCAGTGCTTTATGATTTGAACAATAGAGAGATAAAATATTGTCTTCTACATCTAACATCAGTGAACTAGGGAAATGGTAAATGGTAAATTACTATGACAGGTAAAAGCTAGATAATCCTTATATTATAAAATGATAGGGAAATCATCCTCCATCATGGAAGAGATTATATAGTATCACTGTTATGTTTTAGCCATCTGAGCTTTGAGTTCCCTTCTTTGGAAGTTTTTAACTATTCAATTTAATACATGGAGTTTTATCTTAAATATGAGTTTTATTGACTTTCAGTTTTTTACTTTCTAAATTGCTAAATTTATCTTGCCCCTTTGCTTACTTTGAATTTAGTTTGTTCTTTTTCTGCCTTTGAAGGTAGCTTAGGCAATTAATTTTTAAAATAATTAATATGTATACTTATTTTTGTTTGGGTGAATATTTGTGTATATATGTTAAATAACTATCTCTAATATCATTTCTCTTTTTAAAAGTATTGTTTCATTTACAACTTAAGAATTATGTAATGTATCCATTCCTTTATCGTTTGTATTCTTGTCATGTATTTTATTTCTGTCTCCAATCCCTAATAATTCAGTATTTTTCAGCCTTAGTCAGTTTCTTGAAGAAGAGCAAAAGTGGAAGAAAAGAAGTCTTTTCAACTTATGTGCCTGTCCTCATTTCCTCTGGTTTCCATTTGGGTCGAGTCAGACGTCACTGACGTTTTCCCTTGCTTTAGGAATTTCCCCAAATGTTTCTTGCAGTAGTGTATATATGCTGGGGATTCATTCTCTCAGCTTTGTTGGTGAAAGTATTTTTCTTATTTAACCTTTTTCAGTTACTTTTGTTAGGAGTATCAGTCACTGGTAGCAGCGGTTTCTATTTCTGTGACAAGTCAGTTATTTGTATCTGTGTTTAGTCATGCAAAATATTTGCTACTGACTGTTTTTAGCATTTTCTCTTTATTACAACTTTTCAGCAATCTTATTATTTTGACTTGCTATACTCTGACTTTTTTAAACATACAGTGATTTCTGATGTGTTATAGTGTTTAGCTTGTTCTATCTTTATACTTCATGCATTGGCTAATTACATAGCTCACTTTTGTTTTCTAGTCTCACTTTGCATATTCATGTCCAGAAGTTCATTAAGGTTCTTTTTTTTTCCTGTCTTTCATATCTCATCATGTTCAGTTTTTATTTCATCTTTGAGTGTATAGAATATATTTACAGTAGCTAAGGGTTTTTTGTTGTTGCTAGCTGGTTGACTAATTTGTTGGTTGATTGGTTTTAGTTTCTTGATACTGGACTCCAGTCCAGACCGAACGCTGTCTCTCTATGTATCCCATACTGGCTTTGAAGTCATGATGGTCCTTTTGTCTCAAACATTTGAGTCCTGGGTTCATAGGCTTGAGACACTGTGTCCAACTGACCGAATCTGTCATTTTGACAACATTTTTTTAAGGATGGATAAATTATTTCCTATTGTTTGATATATTATTTGCTATTTATTTATTTGTTTGTTTGTTTTTGGCTTAAGAATCCAAATCCAGATAAAGAAAAACCTCCTTGTAATGCTCAGGAATTAGAAGAATGTGATATCTTCTTTGAAGAGAGCTCCAGTTTATGCCGATTTGATGGCAATACATTGAAAACAACTCATGTGGTAAGTTTTTGATAATGGTAATTCTAAAAAAGCTGTGGATAATAAGTAGAAATTTGGCAGATAAAAATTGAATGAAATATATGTTTTGCAAAAATTATTTGATTGATATTTATTGGGTGTAATAAATCTCATCACTCCACAAAGTAGCCTCATTTCCATACTACCAAATGCAGTAAAATGCAGGCCTGTTGTTTGAAACTATTGTGCATTGATTTTTTTCCAGGCTTTGTCCTCTGCCTACTTTTTATATACAGTTGTGACTCTGTTTTATATATATATAAAATTAGCTTCCTTCATGCCTGTTTTCTGACACTGACCATGAAAAAGTAAGCATTTTCTCTTGCTATTAATAACTTAAAACAATGGCTTATTATGCGTGCATGTACTCAGGAATGTTCGGAGAGAGGCCAGTAGAGGGGGTCAGACCCCTCAAAGTTGAAGTTACAGGCATTTGCAGAATGCCTAGCTTGTTATGTGGTGCTGAAATACAAACTCTGGTCCGTATGGTTAGTCAGCAAGTGCTCTCAAGTGTCAAGCCATTCTTCCAGCACCCTTTAATAATTAAACAACAACAACAAATCTTTAGTTAGGTAAAGTCTTTTTTATGTTCAGAAATCTTTAAGGAAGAGTTAGAGAAGTCAAATTAGTCATAGACTAATGCTCTTGGAGACTGGCTTCTACTGTCATTCGCATAGCTGTGTGTCCGTCACTGCCCACTTTACTGCACTTTACCCACGCCTTCTGGGCTGCTGCTGTCAGATATCCACTTCTTAATAACTGCACTCTGTCAGCTGTTTCAAGTCTAACACCCTTCCATGCAAAGATGGCGTTTCAGTGATTGTGGCTCCGGTGAGAAAGCGTGGTTGTCATTTATTCATACCATCCAGCTTCTCTAATATATTGGGGAAAGTTCTTGTGAATAGTCCCTTTTAAAAACCCTTGATGCTTGCAGAACCTGTGGTAAGTCTCTTTTATATGTCATATTATATTTCTTGATCAGTCTGGCTAGAAATTGCTCATCTTAATTAATTTAATAAAATAACCGAGTTTCATTATTTTTTTGTTTTTGCCAATTTTATTCACTTTGCTCCTTATTTTTTCTGCTTTATTTATCTAGTTTAAATTGTCTTTTTAATCTTAGGAGGAGATTAGATAACTGATTTTTTAATTGTTGTCACTGAATGCTCACTAGACTTTCCTGACCCCCAGGTTCTTATGTTCTCCACTGAGAGAATTCAAACAAGACACAGAATGTTGTGTGGATGATAGGGAATGTACTGCAAATGAGAGCAGTGTTTTTAAGGCCAGGAGTGGCTGGGCAGGCAGGGATGGACCAAGTCCATTACTAAGCAGCGTAGCTTCAAGGAGTGAGTGTAGACAGTGGCCAAAGATACCCTGTGTAGAGTAACATTTTAGGAAGGCTTTCCATTAACCCATAGAACCGACAGCTTGTCCTGGGGTAGTTTTTTTCCTGGGGTGGGATAGGGGGGTAGGGGTTATTTTTTTGTTGCTTTTCCAGTAATTGACAGGCCTACTTGGAAGGGTGTTTACTGGAAGGGATGGTGATATATGCTTTTTCTTTGTGATATTGTGTTCCCCAATATATTGTGCACGCTAATAAACTTATCTGGGGTCAGAGAACAGAACAGCCACTAGATAAAGAGGCCAGAAAATGGTGGCACTCACACCTTTAATCCTAGCGTTCGGAAAGCAGAGATCCATCTGAATCTCTGTGAGTTCAAAGCCACACTGGAAACAGCCAGGCATGGTGACTCACGCCTTTAATCCCAAGCAGTGATGGCAGGAAGCAGAAAGGTATATAAGGTGTGGGGACCAGGAACTAGAGCCTGGTTAAGCTTTTAGGCTTTTAGAAGCAGTTAAGCCAAGATTCATTCCAGATGAGGACTGAGAGGCTCCCAGTTTGAGGAAACATCGATCAGCTGAGGAACTGGCAAGGTAAGGTTGGATGTGGCTTGTTCTGCTTCTTTGATCTTCCAGCATTCACCCCAATACCTGTTTCCAGGTTTGTTTTTATTAATAAGACCTTTTAAGATTCATGCTATAGTTCTTTATCAGAACTCCTTTCATACAACTGTAGACTGAGGTAGGTGACCCATTTTAATGGCCTTCTGGGCAGGTTCAGAGTCTCCTGTCTCTATTGAGTGCCAGAGATAGGACTTGGATCAGTTTCTTGACCCATAATTAGAGTAGCATTAATGGGTTGGATTTTACAAACTACTGATTATGAAGGAGGGCCATCTTTAATGATCTCCGTACATGTCCATTTCTAACTGGCTGTCTAACGTTGTTGAAACTTAAATGTCCCTCCAAAACTCACTCTAAAATTTAGTTACTATTTTAAAAGTATTAAGAAGAGGTGTGTCAGTTGTCATAGTCCCAGGCCTAAGGTCTGCTCCTGGACACCAAACAGACCATGCCTGGCCACTTGCTTTACTTCCCAACAGGAGGGAATTCTGAGCGGTGAAGCTGGAAAAAGGTTTGAATTTGCTTTCTGAATGAAAAAATGAAATCAAAGGAGGAGGCCATGACTACTCCTGAAGCATGGAGAAGATTTTTATTGTAGATATAAAGGGGAAAGCAGGCAGAGGGAAAAGTCCAGGCTGACCATGGCTGGCAGACTAAACTAGACCATGAGAGGAGAAAGGGGGGAGAGCAAGAGAGGTGGCCTGAACCAAAAGATCAAGAGACTGGAGTAGCCAAAATGGCTGAGTTCTATAGGAATCAGGCGGAAGCCCCGCAACTGGGAGGGAGAGACTTAGGGTAGGGGTGGGGTAAGAAGTGCTGGGAAGAGCCACAGGTGCCCAGTGAGACTTGTCCTGGGTTTGAGACCTAGCACTGTCACAGTGGTGAACACTGAGAAGAATTTCAGTCCAGTCACATCTAAGCCGCAGCTGTCTTCTAGGTGTTCACGGTAGCTCTGGGATCATAGGGTATGGACCAAGGTGGCGATGCAGAGGTCTGTATGGTTAGCAGTCTGGCTGGTTGGTTATTTTGTCAGGTCTAGTTCTAAAAGGCCATGCTTATAGCAGGGGAGAAGTGAGGGGCAGCTTCAGTTCCCTTCTTCTTCAGGGGAATTGCTCACAGGGCTTGTTCTTAGAATTCACCATCAGCTGAAAAGAAACAAAATGAAACAGTCAAGTGAAGGAGGGGGCTGAGAGGCAGGAGGGACAAGGTCACCACAGCATCCCAGAAAGACTTAAGGAAGCTGTGGGAGCAGGCAGCTCCTGGGGGGAGGCAAGGAAACTCAACATCTCAGCCCAGGAGGGCACAAGGAGAGAGAGAGCAGGTAGCTGGGGTGGGGGTAGGGAGACGGTAAGGAAAAGGTCACAGACGCAGGAGTGTGTAGGAAGCTTCCTGGCACACTCATGTGGCTTTTCTAGTAAAAATAGATAAAAGCAGGGGGCTCTGTATTGACACTTACCCAGTAGAAGGGGAGAGACTAGTAGATAGAGCAGATCGGAGAAAACAGCTGAAGAGGTGTGCTAGGAGAGGCTTTTGGAAAAGGGAGGGTTCTAATAGAGGGAGAGGCGCAAGTGTCTTAATAAGTAAAATTCCCGTGTGGTGGGGTTTCAAGAGCATAACAGGGACATGCCCAGAGACTAAGAAGAGAATGCCTGGAGACATTGGTTAGCAGTGTAGCCATCAGGAGTAAACACTAAAATTTAAGAGGTAGAACAGTGTGTGTGTGTGTGTGTGTGTGTGTGTGTGTGTGTGTGTGTGTGTGTGTGT